GGAACGGCTGGCTGTCGCTGATGCTGCACTGCACCTCTCCGTTCGCTCCAGAATCCCTGTCTTGGACACTGAAAATTGCTATCACTGTCCCCACCGGTGTATCTTCCGGAACCGGAGTGAACACGGACATGACGACAATCTCGGGAACGTAGTTGTTTACATCAACGACCTTGATGAGTACTTTGCTGTGGGAAGAGAGTCCGCCCGCATCCCGAGCTTGCACAACCAATTCGTAAAACTCGTGTTCTTCGAAATTCAAGTTCTCTGATATGACAATTTCTCCACTTTCTGGATCCATCTTAAAAGTCTTGTCGAACTTCTCTGGGATCTGAAAGAACGAGTATTTTACCTCGGCATTTGGCCCTTCGTCTCTGTCAGTTGCTGTGACCTTTAACACCCGACTTCCTACAGCCATGTCTTCTCTCACCGTCACCTTATACACAGACTGAGTAAATTCTGGAGCATTGTCATTTCCATCTAACACAATTATTTCGATTGTTGTCGATCCTGATTTCACTGGACTTCCGTTGTCTGTGGCTGTCAGGATCAAATGATGAACAGCCTTCTGTTCCCGATCCAAAGATTTCACCAATAATAATTCCGGATATTTCACACCATCACCTCCAGTTTTCACGTCCAAGGTGAAATAGCTGCTCTCGCTACATTTGTAATTCTGTAAAGAGTTCACTCCGATGTCGGGATCATGAGCTTTCTCTAATGGGAAGCGAGCACCTGGTGCAGTATTCTCGCTGATTTCTAAGACGTTTCTTCTTTCTGGAAAACTGGGAGGATTATCGTTAATATCCATTATTTCTACCTCCCCTTTGTAAATGTTCATTGGACGCTTTACAAGAATTTCAAAGTTTAAAACACATTTAGCGACAGCTGCACATATTTCTTCTCTGTCCACCTGCTCCATCATAGATAAGTGGCCGTTCTGCAAGTCCAAAAAAAAGTACCGTGTCCTACTTGTGTCAAAAACGTGGGCGTCGCGGTCTTTGAGTTCTGGCAGCTGCAGCCCCAGGTCCTTGGCCACGTCGCCCACGAACGAGCCCTTGGGCATCTCCTCGGGCACCGAGTAGCGCAGCTGCCNGACACCCTGAGTCCGTGCCTGAGAACCGCAGAGTTCAAGGAAAAAAAACCAGCCCGAATGTCCTGCCCTGCATTCCCTTGCATCGGGAAGAGTTGGAAAGTACAGATATTGTCAGGTGGGAGAAACAGAAAATCTATCAGTACTGAAACCGTGCACGTAGCAATTCCTGCTCTCTGAATTGCTTACACTTACAAGTCTTCTGTGGGATAGATCGTCTCCATTTTCTTCACAGATGTGCGGCAGGACCTTGGTCTCTGCCCCCACTGTCAGCTTACTGATCTCTAGGGTGGGGTCTCGGTGTCCCCGCTGCCATAGTGATGCCTCCATGAGGGAAAAGGCAACGTGGATGGAACACTGAAAAACTGCTTTGGGTTCATTTAAGATGGCTGAGATCCCCAGCTAACGCTGAGCTTACCAGCTTTGAACAGTGGTCGTTGATGGACAAGTGAAGCTGGAATTCCAGGCTCTGAGAACACCACAGAGGTCACATTACACCTGATCCCATCTCTTTTGACATTCAAAGCTCAGCATCATCTTATCAATATCCATACAACCCAACCCCGAATTACTTTTCTGTGTGTATCCCACTCCCTGATATCCTAAACAGGCAGTTACTATAGCTGGTCTCAGGCATTAAAGAACATTTCCTGGGAAATGTCGGCAGCAGCTGTGGTTTTTTGAACAACCAAGAGTAAACAGATAGATTCCTTGCAAAAAGCCCCTTTTATTTTTTATTTTTATTAGATCCTCGTCTCTTTTACAGTAAAGAAAAAACCGCCAAAGCCACAAACAAAAAATAACAACAAAACGTCCTGAAGGAAGGCTGTGTATCATCACAGCCCCTTATGCAGAAGATAAGGAGAGGTTAGAAAACTCTCCACGCTGTCTACTCGAGGGAGTTGCTCTGACACGTTCTCTAGTCCTGGGTCTCTGAGGTGCCAATGTCAAGCTATCCTCACTGGACCAGTCATGTCTCTTTGGAAAATATATTTTCCTGCTAACTGTGGTAGTTCATAAAGTGAAGGATAATTCCTTTCCATCCAGCTGAACCTATACACAACTTCTGGTAAGAAATTAACATTCTGTCAGAACAGGACGTGGATTTCAATTTGTAATGTTTCAGAAGCACGCAAGGCTGTAAGCATCTCCACAAGATATCGAGAGATGGATGCGATTTTTTACATGGGGGCAGGGGAATTCTGTTGAAATATTTAGCAGTCAATTCACTGCCTCCTTTATGGGGAGAATTGCCTGTAACAACCCAGACACGCATTTTCATGTATCATACACTGAAACACTGCCAAATCCGTGTTTTCAAGATTAACTCGCATTCCAAAATTAGCTTTACTATAAAAAGATAGTGATGAATCGTACTTTGCATTTAAGTATTTTTTCATCTATATGCTAATAAGTATACTTTATATCGAAGACTATGCCTGCACAGTAATCGACCATTTGTGTCGAATCCAGAGGCTAAGACATGAAACCCAGGTGTGGGAAAAAACCTCGATCAGAGGAATTCTTCACCAATGAATACAAGTCTCTTCAAATGCCCTTAAGAAGGATTGAATAATTCGTTCGTTGAAGGTGGATATGGAAGAAATCTGGGACTACAATGTGTTGGCTTTCAAGATACAAGATCCCCGAATTCAATCGGAATTTGAGAGCTGATACAGGGAATTATACTAAATTGCTTGGAACCAGATGCCAGCAAGTATTTAAACAATTTCAAAGAACGGTCAGTAGAGGACCAAGAGAATAAGATTTCCGTATGAAGTTACGCCTGCAACAGAACCTTCCAGCCTTGGGGAAAGCTAGGCAAGAAGAGCTCTTGCAAGCGTTAAAGAACACGGCACATAAAACACACAACGCAGACTCAGCACGCATTCCTTCAGATGACATTAATGAGTAGATGACTATCTTAAAACATAGTTTCTAAGCCTGTGAATCAGCTGTGCCTAGCCTAAAAATCCTAAACACCTCGTCCACTAAATACAGTTTAAAAATTAACGTACCTGAGAGGTAACTTGCCCGCCGCTTTCGGTAACTTGATCTCCTGAAGGGA